TCCGAGCATTCAGATTTTGGAGGGCGACCAAACGGAGTCTTCCAATGAAAGTCTCCATGAAAATCTAACTTTGTTTTATTTTCATTTGAAATTATCCACTCTCCTACCAGCACCTTTTCAATGCTCTTAATATCTCCCACAGGTCCTTCTTTAAAGCTGAAAATGTCATAATGTGCCGAGCCTCTGTCACCAAATTGATCGAACTTGATCTTTCCTGTTAGTCCGTCAAAACTGACTCTCTGAAGTAGCTTCTGCATGCCCAAACTATTTGCGATGGGCGATTTGTCTAGAGTACCTGTATTGCTTGAGGTAAAATCTCGAGATGATATATCTATTGCATGGGCCAGGGCATATACGGCGTCGATGGTGTATGGAATAACGGAACTATAGATTTCTTTAATCAAGTCTTTAGAGCACTGCTGAATTTGATGATGAACACACTTCTTGCTCCTCAAAAGTTTCCATATCTCGCTTGTACTGTCGTTCCATTCAAGAAAACTTCTATTGTCTCTCTCCCTGACCAATACATCTTTTAAATATTCCTTGAAGCCAGAGTCGCTGAATTCATGCAACTGAAATCCTAAAGAGCTCTCGAGAATATCTTTTAGTGGCAGTGTAGAAGTTAAATGAGCCTCGCTCAAAATCCACACACGTCCAGTTAGGTTTTGCCTCTGAACCTCTGCGAAAAACTTCGTTTGGTAATTCTCGTATAACCATAGGATCACAACTTTGACATTTTCCATCTGTTTAAGCTTTTTAACTATGTTCGAGGCGTATAAACTCCGTCAAAGCAATACAGAACGAGCTTTTTCTCCACGTACTTTCGCTAACTACTGCCCATGCTCCATTTTTTCCATACGAATCATCTAGTCCAACGACAGCAACATAACTCCAATTGAAGTGTGTAACCAAGTCAACCATCGCCTCTGCAAGAAAAGTATGCGAAGGCACTGTTCGAAATAAATGGTCATAGGTAAGTGAGCTAAGTTCAGCACTAGTAGCTGATCCACTTATGCTCGAAACATTGAGCATCCGGAGAAATCCGCCAATGAATAGCGCTGTACTAGATTCGTACGGGCCAATTAAAGAAACAATGGCTTTCTTTCTTGTGGCATTTTGGCTTAAATTGACGCAAGAATCAACAGTTAAAAGTTTGTAAACAAGTCTTGCAGCTTTTGAGAGGTTTCCACAGTAATCCCTTATGTCGTATCCAAGGGAAATATTCGAAAGAATACTTGTGTCGTTGTTTATTCGTTCGATTGCGAAGATCATGGCCTGCATGCGACCAATTCCTCTCAAATGTACCTCTTCAAATCTGCTCCCCGGCTGGTGCACGCTGAAAAGTCCACCCAGCATAATATCGCCTTCTCTGTATGGAGCCTGAACAGCAGCACTGAGAAGCAGAAGAAAAGAAACAACTGGTAGTGCAACGAACTCATAGCAATACTCTTCTTTCCTCTTTTTCCTTGTTGGTGAACCCAACGCATAGACAGTAGTTTTTTGTTTTTTTACGTGTATTTCGCACATATGTTAGTGATCAGTGACTTTTTATGTTAATTTCAATTCAGAAACCTGAAGTTTTACTCTACAAACAAAAGCCAATTGTTATCACTTCTCTAGCTCTCTGGTTTTATCTATATGTTATAAATTAATGGTGACCATACGCTGGGAGTGTTTAAATTTAAAACGATCTCGGTTTTTGTAACGCCAGCTTTATGACAAGACAAATTAAAAACATCTCTCTTAATTTCTTATTTCTCTTGTTATTTTTTTCTCTTTCTCCCTCTCAATTTTTTTAAAAAGTTACCATATATATTGGAAATAGCGAGAACAAAAACAAAACCATGCCTTTGTCTGCCTTTCTAACAAAAAAAATAGCTTAACAGTTTGACGCAGTTGTTAAATGGACCTACTTCTTTAATTACAACGCAATTTTTTTATAGATTAATTTTTCTGAACTTGATAATAATTTGCATGTTAATTGAAAGGTACCT